AGAAATCCCAAGAAATCTCAAAAAAATCCTACGAAATCACAAACACCCTTAGGAAATCTTGAATTTAATGGAGACATTTCGGGTTAAAATTCATGTTATTTGTAACACTTTTAAAAAGAGGCTTTCTTTTTATCAATTATTTTAATTTTGAAATTTCTACAGATTTCTAACTTTTCATTTCGGGGGGGGGGTCTAATGCACAAGAATTTATAACAAGCATACTCACGTACTAAAGACAAAATAAAATATAAAACTAGTAAACCAATAATTCACTCTAAATGATACTAGAAATAAAAAAGAAATAAGGGTATATATGTAGATAAACTAGCAAAACAAAACGGTGAATGATTAGTGGACGGAAATCCTCGATTTAAGATTTTAAATTTCTATTAAAAATCTTTAAAAAAGATTCCGAGAAATTTGACTTTAGTATTTGTTCGAAGGAGGGGGTATGATGCACGAGATTTTATAATATGTCTACTCACATACTAAATATCCAGCGAGATATGAGATCAGTGATACGATAATTGATTTAAGATGATAACAAAACTAAGAATAAAATAAGGGTATATATGTAGCTATAGTTGCAAAACAAAACGGTGAATGATTAGTGGACAGAAATCCCATTTCAAAGATTTAAAATAAAACTTTTATTATTTCTGAAAGATTTTTGGAACATTTCATCCATTTATCGGAATTTACATTCAAATGCTCCACAATTTCTAAAAACTTTCGCATCGATTTCCAAGGATTTCTCACAATTTTCCATTGATTTTTTACAATCTTTTCCCACTACTTAGCTGTTTTTTTCGTAAAGATTTTATTTGGTTTTCTCAAGATTTTTCTAGGATTTCAAATGATTTTTCAAGATTTTTTTTCAGTGCAAACTAATTTTTTCTTTTAAGAAACTCTTTTCATCTTCCAATATTTTTAAAAAAGTTTTCTAGGATTTCTCGAAGATTTCAGCTGGATTTCTCAAGATTTCTCAAGATTTTTCTAGGATTTCGAATGATTTTTTAAGAATTTTTTTAAGTGAAAACTAATTTTTTTTTTCAAGATATTCTCTTCATTTTCCATTATTTCTAAAAAAAATTTCTAAGATTTTCAAAAGATTTTTTGAGATTTTCATAGGATTTTGTTCAGATTTTGTCGGGCTGATGAATGATTTAATGGTGTGGTGGAAATTTACTGTTGATTTCGGTTTGGGAAAGGATTCGGTACTGCCTTAATGTTTTACGGTAGTATTCGACCGTCGTATACGATGGCCGTTTTTTTACGATGGTCGTATACGGTGATTTTTTACGGATGTCGTTTACGGCGGTCGTATATTATAGTAAAGCATCGTGTACGATCACCGTAAACGGATGTCGTATATTGTTGTCGTGTTTTGCCGTAAAATGCCGTTTACGATCGTTTACGACCGGGTGGGTTTGACCTGGGTAATGGTTGTTCCCATTCTAACATATAGACATTGGCTAATGTCATTGTAAATGCTGAACCCATAGCTCCACCTTTGATTTGTCGATAATATTTATTATTATAGACAAAATAATTCGTATCTAATACTAGACGAGCTAATTTCAAGATGGTATCAATTGATAAATTACCAATTTTGCCTCCTGTGGATGCTTTAGCTAGAAATCGTCCTAATGCTTCTAATGCTCCATTTCTTGGTATCATTGTATACAAATCAGTTACATCAAATGTAATAAAATGAGTTGTTGGTAATAGATGACCATTCTCTTGGTATTTTTCTAACTGTCGTACAAGATCAATATCATTTATAAATGTCGTTTGTTTTGCTACATGATCGAATAAAGGTCGTATAAGATGATCCAAGAAATGTGATACATTATTTGTTGGCCCATTTATTGAAGAAATAATAGGTCTCAATGGTATTCCAGTCTATTAATAGATAAATGAATAGTATCAGGACAGACAATTATGATCTTACTTTATGTGGTTTAGGCAAGAAATAAAGATGTCC